CAAAGCTTGTTACAGAGCTCAACCTAGAGTTAGGGTTACACCTAGGGTTAGGGTTTAGAAAAGCACAAAGCTCAGAGCTCCAGGGACTGTGCAGCTACAATAGACCTGCCAAAGTGAAAAGAAAACTGCTACAAAATAGCTCTCTCGCTAAGTTTTTACTCAGCACCTGACAGCCCTAGGGTCTTTCCAGAGCTCAACCTAGGGTTAGGGTTACACCAAGGGTTAGGGTTACACCTAGGGTTAGGGTTTGGAAAACCACAAAGCTCAGAGCTCCAGGGACTGTGCAGCTACAATAGACCTGCCAAAGTGAAAACTGCCACAAAATAGCTCACTCTTTACCTTTGTGATAGATTAACATTTAAGAAAACAAAGAGAAACACCTAAGGAAGTTAAAACTGCTGGAGGCTGATGGGAGTTTGTCTCCTGGCCAACAACTGACCATTTCTAAGAACTGACAGCAGTTTTAACCATTGAAAAGTGAGATCAACCTGTGAACACCACCTTAAGACCTAAGCCTGGGAATTTCTTTGGCTCTTTGTTTCCTGGCTGTGAAAGGTGACAGAGCTCCAGGCCTCCCGTTCCCTGCCCAGGCCCTGCGGCCCCGTGGGGCAGGGGCTGGGCTGGGCCCAGCGGCTCCCGGCCGGGAGATGGGGCCTGCGGGGTTTGCCCCGGGCTCTGGCTGGGCCAGGCCGGTCCCTGGCTCGGCTGCAGGTTTTGTACTGTGACTGAATTCACCATAGAGAATGGTACTCAGAGACTGCTGAGTAAAGAGAGAAAAAGCTCTTGACCTGCGGCAGGCTGAGACAGTGACCACACTCTCCAGAGCAGCCATGAAGAATCTTCCATCGCAGACAGCTCCAGCTGCTGCTCCAGCAGAGATCACAGAACCATCTACAAAGCCTGGGCAAGATTTTAACCTTTTCATTACCCAGATGAGACTTGCAGATTAATCCTTTTTTTTCAGAGAAAGAAAGAGTAATCAACATGTAAAGAGACTTTATAAACTATCAGAGACAGTAAAGAAAAGAATTAAGCTTCAGAAAAGGTAGAGAATAAGGAGAAGCTTTAATTAAGCTGAAATATTTTTCTGTTAAAGCTATGGAGATGGACAATAGTGTTCTGAAAAAACTCCTTCAATTCATGACAGAGTATATTGGGAGGAATGGAGTGTTCAAAGTGTGGATTTTGAGCAAAAGGTGGAGTAATTGTGATACAGTGAGGTGCTGGAACAGAAGGAGAAAAGTAATAGTTGATGATTTGTGGCCTTGAGAGGCAAAGAGAAAACTTCTGTTTTCCAGGGAAGCTCACAGAGACTGATGAAAAGAACTTTTGCCTTTGAATAACTCATCCTTAAAAATGACACCCCCTAGACTCATGGCCCATACACACCTCAGAGTGATGTGAAATGGGAGGAGTGAACTGATGACAGATTTCCGGGCAGCTGGCATCACAGAAATAGAAAGGTATAACCAAAATAGTTTTCTTGTGAGAAACTCCATAGATTAGCAGAAGAAGACTTGTGTTTCTCTACAGAGACTGATGAAAAGATTCTAGCAGGAACTGGGGACTGTTTAAACACCAAAGTTCCAAAGTTTTTTTCTCTATGTTGTCATGTGAACAAGGGAATGGTTGGGTAGTGGGAGATAAAGGGGTTTTCTGGAGGTTTATTCTGGTGTTCTTATTCTTGTAGTTTTGTTAATAAACTTTCTTTATTCAAGTTTTAAGTCTGTTTTGCTCTTGTTCTAATCCATATCTCACAGGAAGAAATAAGTAAGTTTTCTAGTAATTTTTTAGTTACTGCTTTAAAACCACGACATGTATTTGGTGCATTGGCCGGGAAAATGAAATTAGCGAATCTAAACAACTACAACCTTTTATCTCGGCACCTGACTCAGCCCTAGGCATTTTAAGGAGCTCAACCTAGGGTTAGGGTTACACCTAGGGTTAGAGTTACACCTAGGGTTAGGGTTTAGAAAACCACAAAGCCAGAGCTCGAGGGACTGTACAGATACAATAGACCTGCCAAAGTCAAAACTGCCTTGAAATAGCTCTGTCTCTAAGATTTAGCTCAGCACGTGAGTCAGACCCAGGCATTTTCCAGATCACAACGTAGAGTTAGGGTTACGCCTAGAGTTAGCGTTGCACAGTCCCTGGAGCTCTGGGCTTTCTGGTTTTCTAAACCCTAACCCTAGGCGTAACCCTAACCCTAGCCTATTGTAGTTGCACAGTTCGTGGAGCTCTGGGCTTTGTAGTTTTCTAAACCCTAACCCTAGGCGTAACCCAAACCCTAGGCGCAACCCTAACCCTAGGTTGAGCTCTGGAAAATGCCTTGGGCTGAGTCAGGTGCCCAGCTAAAATTTAGAGAGAGAGCTATTTTGTGGAAGTTTTCTTTTCACTTTGGCAGGTGGTCTATTGTAGCTGCGTAGTCCCTGGAGCTCTGGGCTTTGTGGTTTTCTAAACCCTAACCCTAGGCTTAAACCCTAACCCTAGGTTGAGCTCTTTAAATTGCCTAGGGCTGAGTCAGGTGCCGTGCAAAATCTTAGAGAGTGAACTATTTTTTGGCACTTTTCTGTTCACTTTGGCAGGTCAATTGTAGCTGCGTAGTCCCTGGAGCTCTGGGCTTTGTGGTTTTCTGAATACTAACCCGAATCTTATCCGTAACCCTAAGTGTAATCATAGTTGGTGGAGTAAAAGGCTCCCTGGCCTGAGTCATGTGTGAAGTAGAAGGGTATTGATAGAGCCATGTTATAAGAGATTTTTATTCTCTTTGGCATGTGATTTGTAGATGCTGTGTGGTTGAAGCTTTTGGCTTTGTAGTTTTCTGGACCCTAACTCTAGGCATAATCTGAACTGTAGGCGTCGCCCTGACTGTAGGTGTATGACCTGGTTTGCGGTAAATTTGGTAGAGAACTTCCATTAAGGCTCCCTCCAGGAAGCAAGTCCTTGTGACTTGTTCTACGCCTAACTGTTTTGGGGAGAGATTTCTCTTAGAGAATTAGAATAAACATTTTTTTAAAGAGGCAAAACACCACCCATCAGAAATATGAACAGTTCTGGATCACAAAACCTGTCGCCACTCTGATGAGATGACAAATCAGAAGGTCTTCCTCCTGTGGGTGTTTCATCTCTTATCGATCCTTCCCGCACTGGGAAATGCTGCTGCCCAGGACAAGTGTCCAGTAGTCAAGAGGTGCAAGCTCCCAGCGCTCCCCCAATCCCCAGTGCAGAGCAGGTTTGAACTTTTACAAAAGGGAAAGAAAACAGTCTAGGAAGACCTCTCTGCTTCAGCTAGTTGGAAAGCAAAAGCAATCTCTCCCTTGTTGTCTGTACTGTAGTCAAAACCCCATCCCGGAATGCAGGGGGGAGCAAGTACAGTCTCTGATAACAGACTCGGTGATTCTTCTCTACTCACTTTTACTCTCAGATGAAGTTTTAAAGATAAAAAACTTATTTCTGGGGTAGGTAGATGAATGGGGACACAATTTAACATCACAGTCACCCCAGGATATTGGAACAGTTAAAAAAGCCGTGGGCTCAGTCTGGTGCCAGGTAGAAAGGAATGGAAGAAGCCATGTTATGACAGATTTTTGTTCCACTTGGCATGCCATTTGTAGCTGCAGTGTGCTTGGAGGTCTGCACTTTGTAGTTTTTTGAACCCTAACCCTAGGCATAATCCTAACTCCAGGCATAACCCTAAACCAAACTGAAGCAGTAAAAGGCACTTTGGGATGAGTCTGGTGTCAGACAGAAAGGAATTCAAGGAGCCATGTTATAGCCGTCTTTTGTTCCCCTTGGCATGCCATTTGTAGCTGCAGTGTGCTGGGAGCTCTGGGCTTTGTAGTTTTCTGAACCCCATCCCTAGGCATAACCCTAACCTTGGGTGGAACACTGAAAAGAGCCTTGGGCTGAGTCAGGTGCGAAGCAAAAAGTATAGAGAAAGCTATTTTGTGGCTGTCTTGTATTCCTTTTGGCAGGTCAGCTGTAGTTGCACAGTCCCGGGAAATCTGAGCTTTGTGGTTTTCTGAACCCTAACCCTAGGTGGAACCCTAACCCTAGGTGAAGCAGTCAAAGTCACCTTGGGCTGAGTCTGGTGCCAAGTAGAAAGGTATGGAAGGAGCCATGTTATGACAGATTTTTGTTCCCCTTGGCATGCCATTTGTAGCTGCAGTGTGCTTGGAGCTCTGGGCTTTGTAGTTTTCTGAACCGTAACCCTAGGCATAACCCTAATCCTAGCTATAACCCTAACACTGGACGTAACCATAACCCTACGTGCAGCAGTGAAAAGAGCCTTGGAGCAGGCTCCAACTCTCAGCTTTGGGAAAGTCATAACAGCTCCTTTTTGGTCAAACACCCCGTGGGCACATCCACTTTCATGTTTTGGTGTGGATCAAGGGCGTGCTTTTGAAGTGAATCTCCAGATTATCCTCACTTACCACATTGTATTTTACCCATCAGAGGTGAGTACACAGAGTGGATTCAGATAGCAATGTAGCAGAAGACAGGTGCCAGGTGTGTATCAGATGGATTCTAAGTTCTCATGGGGCCTTCAGTTCACAGACCCAGCCTGTAGTGAAAAAAACATTGAAAATCATTTAGGGCCTCAACATCATGAAATCCAACACCAGATTGATCCACATTACTTGCTAATATACATGTACACTAGGTGGATGTAGACTAGGAGTAGTCAGCTGTGGGTATGGCTGCTCTGAGGTTATGCCTTCATGGTCTTCCTTGTGGAGTATTTTACTGCATATGTTCTAGAATTCAGCCTATATTTAACCCACTTATTTGATTTTTTGTAGCACATTTCCTTTGAAATGTTAGGGTGGAAAACTCCATCATGCTAGATACTTTCCAGTCTATTTCATATCCCTTGAGAAAATATGCATTTTCAGTAATGTTCTGATTTTAAGATTTTGAATTGTGGGGGAAAAAATTGGGAGTCTAATTTTAAAAATACAATAAAGCAGCTTTGCAATATAATTCTGAAAATAGCTGCTGTTACTATTAAATGGTGTAAATGCAGACTGAGTGCAATAAACCTCACTTCCATTTAGCATTAATAATATTAATGAATGGCGTTTAAATTACATGCCAGGACTGTAAAAGAAACATTACCAAAGAGGTTTTGCATGTCTGCTGCTGACATAATTTAAACCTGTCATAAAATCGTCTTATATCTGAGAAATATATTCATGCGTCTGAACATAGAGAAAAAAACAGAATAGGAAATGCTTTTTTCTTTCAGAGGCTGTCTGTGCAGAAGACAGTCCTCCCTCAAAACTTTCCCACTTAAGACACTCTGGGAAAGGGCTGAAGCTCCTGTCTCTCCGCTTGACCTAAGCTATCCGGGATGAGCTGCTTAAAATACTGTGATCACATTTACTCTCGCTCTAGACCAACTTGGGAACTGTTGCGATCAAAATGCTGTGTCAGCAGCTCGCATGCAGAGACAGACACAGTTCTTATCATACGCACATCATCAGGAGATTTTCCCATGTAAGGTCTACAGCCTTCCCCTTCTCCTTCAAATACTCCTTCTTCGCTATCTTTCCCCCGCTTCACCTTTTCTGCCCTATCCTCCTCTCCGTCTCCGGCTTCACCGGCCCCTGCACCGCGCACTGAGCCGCCGAGCCCGGGGACGCCGCAGCGCTCCCCGCCACCCCCGCACCAGCCTGGTCCCGGGACCCG